TAAGAATTATCTTAATGTGTTTTGCATTTGTTTAAAATTTACCTATATATAACTGTATAGACATAATCTATTATTTTCCAAACCAAGTGCTGTGCTAGCTTGTATTGTTCTTTCGGATCAGATGTCTATGTGTGAATAAATAAATTATTGTTGTTGACTTCAAATAGATTTATTCTTTACCTGAACTTTACATCGATATGGACCTAATACACATATTATAATGAATCTGTGGAAAATTAGTGTCTGTGACTAGAAAAAACAAGTCTAGGGGGCGAAATAAAGGCTAAGCTAAATTAGTGATTTATGGAATTTTTGTCTGTCTATCCCTTGTGTATTTATACCCTGGACGTATTTCCATGAAATTTGGTATGGAGTGGAAGTATACAAGAAAAAGATAACCCTATTATCTTTTTCTTGTTAACTGAAAAATATAGTTTTGCTTTTTCGTCTATGAAAAACCCTATAAAATTAAAATAGCTTTACATATTTCTTTCGGACCAAGTAAAAATGGTATATCCTACAGTTAACACAAATTAAGTAATCAAATGCTACTAATATGTTTAAAAAATATTTAATTACCTACTTAATATACCAGCTTGGAAAATGTTAATATTCAATAATAGCTGGCGTTCGGCCAGCTAGGCGAGCGTCGACGAGCAATGGCGAGGCTGGACAAATGGGCTGTCTGGCTAGCTGGATGTTGGTGCTCCCCTTCGCTCGGCCAACATATAGCGCCTTTAGACTTTGCGGCATGGGCCGGTAAGTCGTTCTCTCTGTGCAGATATGAAACAGATGGCTGACAGAAGTTCCCTAGGATCGCCTTAGCAAAACACCTTTATAAAATTAGAGGTAGAGACCGTAGAGAAGAGAGCTTGAGTAGTTTAAAATCTTTAAATCACGTCCAGTGAATCAATAAAAGACGGAAGGTACCAAATAATTCAGTATTATTTTTACTATCTATTTATTAGTTTTGTACCAAAACTAAAAAATGAGCAAGAAGTAAAATATACTCTATTTATATTATTTATTAAGAGTATTATACCAAATGTTAATCTGTACATAAGAGGTCTCATCATCATCAAAATATAAAATTTGATGCCATAATTATAAAATATTAATTAGCTTTTGACTTTTATGTTTTGATGTAAGTATTGCCGGAATGAAAGTCTACCCCTACAAAGCATGAGTGATTCATCAATTGCCAGTTCTCTAGTATAGTAAATTTATTTCATTTTATTGTTAAATGCATCAATTAATGTTTAATTTTTTTATACTTTCGTTGCCCTCCACATACTGAACATTTAAAACTCTTAATATGTTTATAAATCTATCCCTGGACATGTGTTGACTGAATACGTCTGATTTGTACAAATAATGAGTTTTGCAATAATACCTTAAATTATTCATTTTAATGTCACCCATGTGTATCTGTAGACCAATAAAAGTCTTTAGAGCATCCATGGTTATTGGACGCCAATTTTTCATCCTGCTGAAATTTGGAATATTTGTATTTTCTAATAGTTTTGAGGAATAGTTTTTAGAACAAGTTAAGATGAGATTTAACTTGTCACGATCTTTAACTAAAAAAAGTAATCTATGGCTCCTTTGTTAGTCATTTCCATCTTTAAACCAGGACGCTGTTCGAAATCAATTAAGTTGAGGTCAAATCATGCTAGGACGCGAGCTTTGAGGCGAGTTTGCCAGGGAACAATAGAGAGTTAACAAATGACAAAAAGAAATTCGCGTATATTATGAATAACTATTATTATCGGACCTACAAAATCGAATAAACACAAAACACATGCAGGATGGCAATGTTTATTGCTTTGGTTTATAAACCAAATTTTTTCACACCGTCACTCAATAAACTCGGAGACGATTATTGAGTGACGGTGTGAAAATTATGTGTGGTGTATTACTACTAACTAGCCATAATTTTACAACAACATGTTGATCACGAATTGTGCCGATTAAGCTTTTGATATTAGATTACTGAAAACATATTATGAAGTTTAATGTTACAGAAGACGCCAACTCCACTGTAAAATTGTCATCGCTGGCGAGGCACTCAAAAACAGTGAGGAATCACTTGCCGTTTCCCTTGATGTCTCAAAGGCCTTTGACAGAGTTGGCACGCTAGCCTTCTGGCTAAGCTTCAAGCGTACGGCTTATCCCCTGATCTGATTGACTGGGTAAAGAACTTTCTGAATGAAAAGTCTCTCCGGGTCGTCGTCGATGGCTGCTCATACGATCCAGTGACGACTAACGCCGGTGTTCCTTAGGGGTCCGTTCTCTCCGCAACTCTCTTCCAGCTGCATATAAATGATTTGCTTATGCCCGATATCTATGGGTACGCAGACGACAGAACAGTTGTGGAGAGATACCAACCAGGTCCTCGGGCCAGTTGGCAAAATTCAGTCCGACATAGAAGCTATGTTAGAGCGTGTGAATCTCACTCTACGGACAGTCTCCGAATGGGGCGATGCTAATCTTGTGAAATTCAACGCCTCCAAAACACAAGCGTGTCTCTTCACTGCAAAAAGGAGCTCACCTTGGCTCCTTCTTTCCGAAATGTATCACTGGAATATACCGACCGTCTCCAGTTGCTGGGGGTTGAGATATCCTCAAATCTGAACTTCGGACGGTTTATTGAGTCCAAGGCCAAAGCGGCTGCAAGGAGGATAGGAGTCCTTGCAAAGGTGCGGCGATACTTCACGTCGGGACAGATGCTTACTTTATATAAAGCGCAAGCGCGGTCGTGCATGGAGTGTTGCTGCCATATATGGGCTGATTCTGCAAAATACGACCTAGCGGCCTTGGACTCAATGGAAAGGCGTACTAAGAGGTTTATTGGTGAACCGAATTTGGTTGAAACTAATCTTACCAGCCTCGAACACCGGCTAAAAGTAGCCAGCCTTTCGGTCTTATACAGGATGTATTTCGGAGAGTGTGCGCAGGAATTGCATAATTTAATTCATCCCTCTCCCTTCCACCATCGGACAACCAGACGTTCGGCCAGTCGCCACCCTTTCGTTGTTGACTTACCACGCATTCGAACCAAACGGTTTGCTACGTCGTTCGTCATGCGTACAGTAAAGGAGTGGAATAAGTTGCCAGCATCTGTCTTTCGTCAATTCATCGTTATTTAAACTATTACTTAAAATCTTTACGTCGTCATGCGTGTCGTGTTTTGTTTATTACACGATGGCAGCCATCGGATGACTGAGAAGTAAAACAGCATTTTTATTCCAGCTATTAATACAATACAATGCAATGCAGCAGTAGAGAGCAAATAAGCAGCCGTTATTATTATTTATTTCATACGCCGTCGACGGCGCGTAGGTACCTATAACTTGGGTGGTTGCCACTAAGATGTTTTTAAAGTTATAGATACGTCATACTCGCTCTAGAATGGCAACACGAAAGGCAGATAATTGCCAGACTCGCATTCAGTCGGGCACGCTCTTGCTAGGCTATACTTCGCTACAGCGGGTAAATCTTCGAGTTTTAATTGACAAAAATACCTTCCCGTGTTTTTGAATGGTGCACAAATTACACGGCAACTGTTAGAGACAATAAAAACGTCTCATTTCATTCGTAACTACAGTCTTTTAATTAAAACATTGGATGTAATTTCGTTTGACTGTTGTTTGATACGTGTAAGGTAAAGAGCGGGATGTAATCTGACATGAGAGTGAAAGGGACAATGTTATCCTGCGTACCGGTAAGTCACGCGCTCGCGCCAATGAGCGCCAGCAGCAATGAATACTCAACTAATAATGTATATTCACCTTTTTCTAACGATAGGTATAATCCCTATAATTTGTCTCTTTTTGTTAGCGCAACGTGTCATAATAAATAATTGTACGTAGATGTAGTACTACCTGCGCCACTTTAAAATACAGTTACGGCGGCTCTACACGTTGGCCAACAGAGTGGCGAATATATTGGCCAAGAGTTTGTGATAGTATCCACACGTTAGAAGGTCGTTCAGTTTGCTTCGGTTCAGGCCAATGTGCGGACGAATTTATTTTACTTTAGGCGACTGCTCCGTAGCGCAGTGGCTTAGCAACGTATGGCTGCGCCGGGGGTTGCGAGTTTGAATCCCGCACGGAACAAGTATTTGTATGTCCTACAAATAATTGTTCCGGGTCTGGATGTGTGCAATTTATGTTTGTAAACTGCCTCCGCGATACAGGGGAAAATCCTAGTGTAGGGGTAACGTTTTTATAAAAGAATTTTAAAGGAATAGTGAATATCAATGGGGCTGTAAATAGAAATGTATGAAGTGCATATTGTCAGCCTTCAGGCTGATATTTGGTTTTACGTACCTAATAAGAAGTACTTTATTTCAGCCATGTAATATAAATTGGGTCTGTCATAAACGGGAATTTTATTTATTTATTTAGCTTTATTTATTCTCTACATGCATAATAAACTGGAATAAATACCATTAATTAGAACTTAACTTAATTTAAAGTTAAAGGAGTTATAATCGATTCGTCTATGTTTTAAAATTGGGTTTTGATTTTCAAGTTCAGCAAAAAATGTACTTGCTTTTCTATCAGACATTCGATGTATATAAAAAACATCTTATAATTTATTTGGTAATTTAATTATTTTTTGAGAAAGACAAAAACAAGCAATAAATATAATTAACACTGACTTAAAAATAGGTACTAATTATAACCTGAACATAAATGAAAAACTCATGAGAAGGAAAGTGGCTCAGGACCATGCTTTGCGGCAGTCTGTGGAGGAGGATGTTCAGTAGTGGACTAGTGAAGGGCTGTAATGATGATGATGATTCGAAAACTTGCACGATTAAATTATAAGAAATCGACGTTTTTTATAGGATGGGGTGACAAACGAGCACACAGTCCACCTGATGGTAAGTGGTTTCTGTGACCTCTACATCTATCCTCGATTATGAATCAAAATGCAGATGCGTTGTCACCCGTGAGGAATAAGATGGAATGCCTCGTTTCCATGTTGTAATTATGAACGCGTCAAGAAAAAAGCTATCGGGAGCGCAGGGAGAACAATGTGCAGATAATATGAAAAATTGGATTCGCAGAGGGGGTGATCCGTCAGTATCTGCTGCAACTTCCGAAGTTGGTATTCAGTTAGCGGATGTTTCTCGCACTTTGCACGATCAAAAGGATCAAGATTTTTCACAGTCTAATTTCACAGTGCTAGCTTTACCATCTTTGACGATGTGCGAAGAACAACCAGAACAACTTGAAAAAACAAAGTCAGAATACGAAGAATCTAAGTCCCCGTAATCGGCTTCGGATGAACTGCAAAAAACCGGATTTGATTTGACGGACCCAGGCAATTGGCCAGAGGTGGTAAAAATGACTTACCAACAACGGTCTTTCTGTAGCAATCAAGCTCTATTATTAGCAGAAAATCACCCCGAAAGCATTGAATTTAGATCTGAATGCAATGGCAGACATTTAACATCTTCAATGTCGTACAGACGTTGGCTAATTGCGAAAGGGTTAAAAGATCTTGGCTTATATATTCTAAGACAAAAAATACAATATTTTGTGCGTGCTGCAAGATTTACCACAAACCGTCTTCTACTGCCACATCTGCATTGTGTTCTACAGGGTTTATTAATTGGAAAAAAGTTTCAGAGAGATTAACCGAACACGAGGCAACTCAAATGCACAAAGAGTATATGATCAAGTGGAAAACACGGGTACAACCTCAGCCTAGTCAAGGTAACTTCTTGAACTTGATTTCCCTGCTCGCCAAACATAATTTAACTCTTAAGTTTTAATTCATCATCATCATTATCATTACAGGCCTTCACAAGTCCACTGCTGAACAAAGGCCTCCCCCAAAGAATACCACAAAGCACGGTTCTGAACCACCTACATCCATCGACTTCCTGCATGTCTTACCAAGTCGTCACTCCATCTGGTGGGGGGTTGCCCTACACTATGCCTACCGGTACGAGGCTGCCACTCGAGAACCTTTTTCCCCATCGGTGGTCGGTTCTTCGAGCTATATGGCCAGCCCATTGCCACTTCAGCTTACTAACCCGTTGGGCCATGTCGGTCACTCTGGTTCTACTGCAGATATCCTCATTTCTAAGTTTATCACGCAGAGAATCGCCGCACATAGCCCTCTCCATAGCTCGCTGAGCGACCTTGAGTGTCCTCATATGGCTAGCAGTGAAGGATCACGTCTTAGATCCGTAAGTCATTACCTACAACACGCGCTGGTTATACAATCTAGTTTTCAGGTTTTGAGGTATGCCTAACGAGAAGATATGTCGTAATTTCCCGAACGCTACCCAACCGAGTTGAATCCGTCGATTGACCTCTCGGTCGAAGTTGGACTTACCAAGTCGGACTATTTATCCTAGGTAAACGTACTCGTCAACAACTTTGAGCATAGTGCTCCCAACAACTACTGGCATAGGTTCATCTTAAGACTTATCCGTTAGGAGACGCTATTGAGGTCATTGAGCATAGTGCTTAGGTCCTCCAGCGATTTTGCCATAAGGACTAAATCGTCAGCAAATCGAAGGTTAGTGATGTACTCGCCATTGATATTAATACCGTATCCTTTCCAGTCCAGTAGCTTGAAAACGTCTTCCAATGCAGCGGTGAAGAATTTCGAGGATATAACGTCACCCTGTCTTACACTTCTCTGCAATTGGATAGGTTTCGAGCTCTGGTTCTGTACTCGAATAGCCATCGTAGCCCTACTATACAAACACTTCAGCACTTCGATATACCGACAGTCAACTTGGCACCGCCCAAATTTCGACGGAATCAAAAGCTTTCTCATAGCCCACATACGCCAGGCAAAGTAGCAGATTGTACTCTTCGACCTTCTGTACAATATGCCGCAGGTTATGTATGTGGTCTATGGTACTGAAGCCTTTTCGGAAACCGGCTTGTTCGGGAGGCTGGAAGTCGTCGAGTCTGCGTGCGAGATGATTCGTAATGACTCCCGAAAACAGCATATAGACGCGGCTTAGAAGGGATATCGGTCTGTAGTTCATCAAGAGAGCGTTTGTCGCCTTTCTTGAAGAACAAGACCACCGCACTTACACGCCTCCTATCACAATGGAGGACGGAATTAAAGAGCTTCTGAAGGACATTAATTAAGCTCCGCTGTAGTTCCATCCTCGCAGGGGACCTTGCCGTTTTTAAGGTGCTTGAGAGCCGTTCTAATCTCGCTCAGACTGACGTCCGGGATATCATCGGAATAGTGTCGGATAAGACTTGCTCTTGGATCGTTACTCAAACTTGTGTGTGGCTCCAAAGATGATGTGTACAGCTGCCCGTAGAACCTCTCAATCTCGCTCAAAATCTCAGGTGTCCCAGAAACGATGCCGCCACACTCAGTCTTCAGCTTTGACAGTTGGCTCTTTCTGGCAGATAGATCTCTAGCAAAGACTTTGGAGCCCTGGTTCCGCTCAATCGCTCCTTCAATACGAGCTGTATTGAAGTTGCGTAAGTCCTGCCTGTTCTGATCTGTCTGTTCAGTTGCCTGTATGCTGTCAAATCTGCTGACGATTGCAGATTCATCTCTCGTCTAACAGCCATGAGATTAAGAGTGTGATCGGAGATCGGTCTTGCAGAACTTAGCTCCGACCGCGTGGACAGTTTCCACGAGTCTGTCATTAATATCGTCCACTGCATTGCAATCTTCTAGGCACTGAAAACGGTTTTGCAACTCGAGTTGAAAGGTTTCGGGATTCTGGATTAGAGCACGAGGGGGACGGAGCGTTGACTTCATTACACGAGACATCTCCAACTTAACGTTTAGGTTCAGTGTGCAAGTGCAATGTGTGCAGTGATCGCAAGGGTGAAAACTGGCGGCGATCACCGAGACATCACTGAACAGTTGGCGTTTGGTCGTCATAATGAAGTTAATCTCATTTTTTGTCGAACCGTCGGGGCTCGACCAGGTCCAATTTCTGTGGGGCCGCTTCTGGAAGAAAGAGTTCATCTTAAAGGCTCCCTCTTTCTCCATGAAGTCGGCCCCTTGTGTTCCGTTGCTATATCCCAAATTTCCCTACCTTCAGCTCGCCATTCTCGTTCGTGCCTAGTTTTGCGTTGAAGTTTCCTATTAACACCCTATAGTGAGCTTTGGAGGAATGCATGGCTCTAGAAATATCCTCATATATTTCCTCCACCTCCTCATCGGGATGTGCCGACGTTGGTGCGTAAACCTGTATGACCTTCAGCGAATACCGTTTGGTGATTCGGAGTATAAGGTACGCAACCCTCGTCGACACACTCCCAATCTTTACAACGTTGTTAACGAGAGACTTGTGGACAATAAATCCAACACCTCCTTGGAACGGATGGTTGCCCTCCCGGTGATAGAAGAAGTTGCCGGATTCGAGAATCACCGTGTCCTCTCCCTCTCTTCGGACCTCGGATAATCCTATAATATTCCAGCGCAACTTATCCATCTTCTCTTCCAGTTCCAGGATCTTCTCGTCAGTTTTCAGGGTGCGTGCGTTATATGTTGCCAGGTCGAGTCGTCGTCGTCTTACCTCCACCGGAGATACTTCCTTAACCTCCTGCCCCGCCGTTACCATGGTCGCCACCGTAGCCAGGAATGGCGGGGCCGCTGGGGACTGGGGGCCGTCTATTTGCGTCGTTTTTCATGGGAAGTAAATTGCCATAGTCGCCATGGTTGGGGAGCGGGTTGGCAACCGCATTTTTTTTTGTTGTACGGGTGCTGCTATCAGGAAGATACTGCCGCCCATCTCCTGCCTGTTTCCCTCTGTTGCCTTTTACGACACCCACGGGAAGATATGGGGTAGTGGATATTCTTAAACGCCACTACATGGCGTGCAGTGTACAAGTTTCAATCAGAACACTTAAAAAAGGGACAAGTATCATATTTATCAAAGACAATACGGAATGAAATAATTGATATAATGGCCAAAACAGTTAGAAATAGCATTTTAAACGAAATCAAAGAAGCCAAATTCTACACGATAATGTTCGACTGCACTCCAGATATATCCCATAAAGAACAAATGAACCAGGTAATTCGATATGTAAAAACTGGTAATGTGTGTGAAATAAAAGAAAGTTTCATTGATTTCATAGTAGTTGCTGGAAAGACAGGAGAGGGCAGTTGTCAACAGATTTTAGCAAAATTCGCAGGTGATGATTTAAATATTGGACAATGTCGTAGCCAGTCTTATGATAATGGGCCCAATAAGCCTAGCATCCATAAAGGAGTATAAGCCAGGATTGCAGAAAGGAACGAGCTGGCCGAGTTCGTAACGTGCTTGGCTCACTCCTTAAATCTTGTAGGTGTTCATTCTGCCTCATCATGTCAGGAAGCTGACATGATGAGGCAGAATTAACTTAACTGATTCAAAAAGTATATTGCTTTTTGTTGGCTTCACTACTAGGTGGGACATTATGAAAAAAATACGTTAAAACAAATTTAAAAGGAAGTCGTCAGACGAGATGGTCGGCGAAACATGTTGCTGTGAATGCCCTTTTAAATAATTTGCCAGAAAATGCGGAAGCCTTAGAAGAAGTTAAGCAAACTTTTCATGCTCCAGAAGCTAAGTATGAGGTCATCTTTTAACTGTTATAAAGAATTTTAAATTTATTCTTAATTTAACTATTTGGGCGAATATTCTCCGAAAAATCAATGGAGTGAATATAGAAATTCAGAAAGAAGATATTATCCTTGCCCGTTCCGTCGCACTAATGGATGGTCTTGTAACGCTCTTCCCCTCTCTAAATAATAAATATATTATATATAATTAATTTACCCCTTTTCAATAACATGATATCTTTGTGACTAGGATAAATAAAATATGTTTTGATCTTTCTAAATGATCTTTCAAAAGGTTTAAGAATAGGCCGTTTGTAATATTTTGTCGTGATCGTCTTAGTTACGACTCTTATTTACGTTGTGTTTGTTTAGTAACTTAGTTCTTTTAGGTGTCTTTGGGAAGAATGAATATTCACTAGAGCAATTGAAAGCTGTTGGTAGTGTCTTATAAATATAAGCTATGTGAACCCTGTTCACGAAGACAGGGCTCAAAGGCTCACAATATATTTATACAAAATTCCCGATACAATGACTTCGCACACACGCCGTGCGCGGTGAGCTCCAACCATTTTGATGCACTCCCCCCGAAGGGAACGCTAATTCGGGAACTGGACCGTAGTCCACAGCAAAATAACTGGCGAACCAATAAAAGAGGCTTGCACGCTCGTTAGTGCGTAAGCACAAACATCGACCGAAGTCGCGCATGTCAATGCGTGTAAACGCC